TTGTTAACGGATCTACAATCATGAGATCAGTTCTAATATTCTGAAGTAACACTCTTTGTTTATGAACTTCTTCCTTAACAGTAAAGTACTTTAATTCAATATGTTTTGACACATTTGGAGTACTTATCGTTCTTGGAGAAGAATACTGCTGCAACATTATCATAATAAATTTTCAGCGGCTTGGTAATGCTGTAGACAACCCCAAGTCCTGAAATGAAGTCCCGCAGCCATAATGCATGAATTGTGGCTTCATAACATGCCACAAACTTTCTTTGCAGTATTCTTTTTATTAATCAATTCCAGGATTGCTTTGATATCTTCCTAGCATTTCGACCGTAAAATTAATATCCGGTCTTGTGCAAGTTTGAACATACATCAAACTTCCAACAATAGAAGATAAAGGAATTGATTTCATTTCTTTTCGTTCTACATTATTCTTTGGGCATTGCATGAGATTAAATTTGTCCCATTTTTTGAATAGGAACTATTCTTGCTGAACAATTGTTCATGTTAAATCTCTCTAGAACTCTTTAAATATAGCCTTTTGAGACAGTACCAATAATCCTTGTGATCTATCATAGGATATTTCTATCCCTATCACATAGGATGCCTCACTCATATCTTTCATTTCAAAGTTCATAGAGAGAAAGTCTTTCGTCTCACGCAATATGCCTAAATCATTAGCATCACGTAAAATGTCATCAACATACATGACTAGAAATATAAACTTACTCCCACTGATCTTTTGATATATACACTGATCAACGGTAATCTCCTTAAATTCAAAAGATGTTATGGTATCATTAAACTTTATATACCATTGTCGTGAGGCTTGTTTGAGTCCATATATTGACTTCTTTAGCTTACACACCATTTGATCTTTTCCTTTAATTTTGAAACCCTCTGGTTGGTCCATATAAACATTCTCCTCGAGGTCTTTATTATGAAAGACATTTTTCACATCCATTTGATGTAACTCTAAATCATAATAAGCTACCAAAATCAAAACAATTTTTAATGAGTCTTTCTTTGAGACCGGTGAAAAGGTCTCTTTATTTTCAATGCCTTCTTTTTGAGTGTATTCCTTGGCAACAAGTCTGACTTTATATCGGTCAATATTACGATTTGAATTGCGTTTGGTCTTGTAGATGCATCTACACCCGATTCTTTTAGAACTTTCTGGTAATTGAACGAAATCCCAGAATTTGTTGTATTCCATGGATTTTAACCCTTTATTCATGGCATCAATCCATTTGTTAGACTCAGTTGGCCTGATGCGAATGAAATCGGATCTTTATTAATTCGAATGTCAAAATCTGACTCTTGCAAATAAATCACATAATCATCTGAAATGGCCGATTTTCTTAATGGCATTGTCTGTGGTTCATTTGCGTCAGATACTTGTGAGTTAGTTCCTTCTTGAAGTGTTTCACCCAAATGTTGTTCAACATTGTTAAAATGTTCTTCAACAAGAGGAACACCATTTGTGATTGGTGCGGAAGTAGGTACATTCATGGGCAATGAAATATTTACCCTTACCTCATTAATTTCCACACTTTTTTCGTTCAACAACCCCACTAACTTCACCATTCTCAAGGAATTTTGCAAATGGACCTGGACATTGTTCTGATTCGTTATACTTTCCATAATATTCACCACCTCTATCTGACCTAATGGTTTTCACTTTCCTATGCAATTGTCTTTCAACCTCATTAACTTACTTTCAACAAATAGGTAATTTATAACGTGAAAAGTCATCGATAAAGGTGATAAAATATTTTTCTCCACCTAAAGATGGAACATCAAAGGGTCCACAAATATCAGTGTGTATAATTTCAAGAAGCTGAGTGCTCCTTGTGGCACCTTTCTTGGTATGCTTGGTTTGCTTTCCTTTAATGCAATCCAAACATTTATCAAGATCAATAAAATTCAGATTCGGAAGAATCTCATTCTTTACTAACCTTTTTTTAATCTTTCTTTGGATACATGACCCAAACGTTTATGTCACAAATAAACAGAACTTTCATTTAGTGAACTACGTTTAATTCCAACATTTTTGATGAATAGTAAGAAGGAATTCAGAAAAATTATTATCGAGTTTCAATCTATATAAACCATCAATAAGAACACTAGAACCATAAAAATAGTATTCTTATATAAATTGAAACAACCATGTCCAAACTTAAAATCAAATCCAGAAACATCAAAACTTGAAAGAGAAATCAAATTCCTAAAAACTGAAGAAATATAAAGAGTCTGTAATAGATCAAGGTGATGTCCAGTCTCCAAGATCAAACGATAAGTCCATATGTCTTCAATTTTAGCCTTTATGGGATTTCCCATGAACAAGAAATCCTTATTTGGATTTGTAGTTTGGATCGTAGTGAATCCCTGTGTCACGCCCTGAGCCTACACCCTGGGTGTGGCCGGCACTCGAAGACCATTGCTGGCCCCAAGCGAACCTTTGGCCTGACTTTCTTAACTCAGCGGAAACCTACCTCAACAGAATAACTCCATGCAATGCAAGGACATAAAACAACTTAACTGATAAAATCTGGCCAAAAAGGCAACTCGAGTCTCAAAATATAATATTTACATATATACATAGATGAGAGACTCAAAACTAATTAGCTGATTGACTGTCTATGAAGCCTCTAAAATACTGAGATGGATATTGGGACAGACCCCGCACATCCTAATAAACCAAAACTAGGAACACAAAATAACAGAGTCCTCCAGAATACAAGGAGGCTCACCACTGACTCTGGAGTGCTCAACTGGATCAACGACGTGCTGGATGCTGATCCTAGGTACCTGCGTCTACATCGTCATAAGATGCAGGCCAACTGGCATCAGTACATTGAATGTACGAGTATGCGAGTTGGAAACTAAGCAACAAGGCTAGAAAGAGTTCTGGAAGAAACTGAATAACTTACCTGGCTTAACTCAACTCAAGCTGACTGACTCATTTCAATATAATGCAATTTAAAACAAGTTCAATTTAAAGAAAAGAAAACCTGCTATAGACTCTGGGTGTATACAAAGACACAATAAGTCTGAGATGTATATAAAAATACAATAACTGCTGTGTATAAAAATACAATAATTCATGTGTATAAAAATACAATAACTGTTGTGTATAAAAATACAATAACTGTTGTGTATAAAAATACAATAAATGTTGTGTATAAAAATACAATAACTGTTGTGTATAAAAATACAATAACTGTTGTGGGAGTTTCTCTAACCGACAACCATCACATAAGAGCTATAGTGATGATACAACGATTGACCTCACGCTGCCAGAGCATCCTCTACCCGATCAAAGGTATAAGACCTGAACTGCCTAATGGATCCACTAGTCGATTTGGAAAAGGATTCATCTAAAAAGTATGATCCTTTTCTACCCATGGTGGATAACATGGTTCTATGGGGGCTGTGGGTTCCTTGAACGCTCCCCCAACTCGGTGCTCGATACTACTCCCAAAAATGTACTGGCTCTTATGTTTTTAAAACATATTTCTTCCTGCTGATTTGAGATAATTACTTAAAAACTTAGCTCAAAGGCTATCTTGGAAATCTCAGTTTCCTTTCTTGCTTCATTTAGAAAGCGATTACTCTTTTCTGAAAAAACTAGCCTGAAGGCTCTTTGGAGATCTCAGTTCCAAAGCTTGTTTAAATGTAAAAACATTTCTTTAAAACTTCTTTGGGAATACTTAGTTCCCTAATAACTTTTAAGAAATAACTCAACTTTAAACTCTTGACTTAACTTGAAACTCTATACTCTTTGCTTGACTTGAAACTCTATACTCTTTACTCGAAACTTGAGCCTTAAAATGAAGTTAAAACATTCAATAAAGACTCTTGAACAACTTTAAAGACATGCTTTGACTCACTTCTTTAACTTCTAGACTTAACTCTTAACTTCAATTGACTTGGAAACTAACTCTCCTTGAATTGGAATTGTGGATTCAAGGTGTTTGATCACATGTTATGGACTAGTTCTTGACGTTTAGACGTACCTTGGAGCGTTGAAAACAACTATGAATCATAGGTACAATACCAAGGAACATGCATGAGAAAGTAGGGAATGAAAGGGAAAACTTGGCGTCCTTGGCGCTCTGAGAGGCGCGGAGCGCCAGCCCTCGAAGCTCAGAAGGACTGCTGGGGCGCACTGCTAGGCGCGGCGCCCCAAGGGAGAAAGCTCAGAAGCTCTTTTGGGGCACGCTGGCAGGCGCGACGCGCTAGCCCTTTCCCCAGAAAACTCAACTTTTCTTCCTTCTTTTTCCAACTCTAAACCTTATAAACCTCAAAGGTTCCAGCCCCAAACACTTAGAATCATTAAAACCCTCAACATATAAGAGATTCAACTCAAAACACCACCGGAAACATGTACCAAACCAACAAGAACTTCAACACAACACAACTACAATTTCAATAAACATCACTACAAGATTTCAACAACCACAACTAAATCTTTTCTCGAAATTAAACAAGTTTGGCGTGTGGGGGAAAGAATCAACCCAACACTATGAGCTCACATACCTAGTAGGGATCACCCCCGACGATCTCTGACGAAACCTTGCTTGATCTTCTCTTTCTCCTCTTCTCTCAAGAACCCTAACTCTCACTCTTTTAAAAAAGGGAAAAACTGATCTAAAAATCAATCTAACACCTTAATATATATCCAAAAGAAAAGGCTAGGAAAAAGACCAAAATACCCTTACAAATTTCCGGACGGACTTTCCTGCTAACTGCTCAACTTCCAAAGGGTATAACTCACTCATACGAACTTGGAATCGAGCAAACTCGGTGGCATTGGAAAGACCATTCCACGAGCTTCGCAAAAATAACTGGAAATACACCTAACTCATCCTGAGCTAGGATTTATGACTGATCAAAGTTGGCCAAAAACTCACTTTCTTCCATACTTAGCCAAATTTTCCAGATTTTTAATTCCTTCTAAAAATGACTATTTCCAATTCTAAGCCTCTTTATAGTTATTTCAAATTGCCGGATGTTACACCCTGCAACATAGTGGATACATGAGTAGATGCACCAGAATCAGGCCACCAAGTATTATTATGAACTTCTACTAAATTTGATTCGAAACATACAATGGCACTAAATGTACCTTTCTTTTCAAACCAAGCTTTACGTTTCAGACAATCTTTTTGATAGTGTCTTTTCTTTTTACAGAAATGACACACATCAACCTTGAGTTCCTTATGAGCATCCTGTGGCACTTTAGCAAGTGCTTTCTTTTTCTTAAACTTGTTGGCTTTCATTTTAAGTCCTTTACCAGCTCCTTGGCCCATGAGGTTAATAGAATGACCTCCTTGTTTCTTAAGTCTTGACTCCACTTGAGTAAGCATACTGGACAATTCACTAATATCCCACTTATCCTTAATAGTGTTATAGTAAATTTGGAATGGTCCATACTCAAGAGGCAATGAGTTCAGAATGAACTGAACCAAGAAGGTGTCATCCACTTTCATCCCCAAGGTCCGAAGTCTTGCTGCAATGTTAGTGATCTCGATGATATGATTTTGCATACTACACGACCCATCAAATTTCATGGTCGTGAGTTCAACCATTAGTGCACCAACGAGAGACTTATCAGCAGAACGAAAACGTTCTTTCACAAACTTCAGGTATTCCCTGGCACTTTCTGTTTGTGGAATAGCACTCTTAATGTTGTTAGCAACGGTCATTCGCAAGAACATAAGGCTCAATCTGTTAGAGCGCTCCTATGATTTATGAAAAGACTTCTCATCATCACTGCTCTTATCAGTAATGGCAGTAGGTTTGTCATTCAGCAGAGCCAAGTCAAGATCCATCACACCTAAGTGGAACTGGACTTGTTCATGCCATTCAGAGAAGTTCAATCCATTGAACACAGTAACAAAAGAAGTATGCGAATGAAGAGGAATAACTACAAATTAGATATACATGTTCACAAATAAGAAAATAATGTGAATTCAGTAAAGCGATAAAAATATATCGTAATTCTCATTTGGTTAGATACTACGACACATTATCATAATTTAAATGTCATTTTTATCTTTAATAGGTAATTGAATAATTTTAATCAAACATATACGACATCTTTGGATATACAATATAGGTTTGACTAAAAAGATTAAGTTACCTCATAATTTTCACTATTAGTAGAATGATTGATTCACCTTTGGGTAAATTCTTAAATTCTAGCAATAGTGAAAGTCAATTTATCTATTTATTTTTCTATATATAGACATTTCATTAATTTTCATAGATACATGACAATTTTATGAGTACATATTTTTCTTAACCATACTAGTTTGACCACTCTGGTGACTAACAAGCTATATGAATACAAATGCATACATAATCTCATAAAATTTTGTGCATGTGAATAATTTTATACATTTTAGTTTGGCCACTTTGGTGATTAACAAACTATAGAAACATAATACATGCATCAAGTGATCATAAATATTATATGTGTAGACGTTAATTTCTCTAGTTTGACCACTTTGGTGACTAACAAACTACATAAATACAAATTCACACATAATGTCATAAAATTTTGTGCATGTGAATAATTTTATACATTTTAGTTTGGCCACTTTGGTGACTAACAAACTATAGATACATAATACATGCATCAGGTTGAAAAACCAGACTCGGTCAATGAATTGTATTAATCCACATATGTCAAGTGATCATAAATATTATATTTGTAGACGTTAGTTTCTCTAGTTTGGCCACTTTGGTGACTAACAAACTATAGAAACATAATAAACACATATTATTTATTAAATAGTATAATGACCACTTTAATTTATTGCACAATTTAAAAGCAAAACATAATTATTACATTATGGGAAGATTAAGATTTTTTAGAATTTGTGCAAATTAAACTTTGCTAACAACACTTCATTAACATAAGAGTCCAAACACCTTAAATAGTCAAGCACAAAATTACGCTACTACAAAAGAATTCAACAATAAGTTTGAACATAATTTGATTAGACAAAATTAAACTTTCAAGAGATTAATTTTAAATCACAAAACTAAATTCAATAAATATCATAAAAACTTATACAATGATGAAATTTTAGCAGGTGTATAAGTTCATATTCGTAAAGAATTACTCCTATTAACAACTATGAGTATGTATAGTGATTTTGTCAATGTCAATATGCTTTTAAGTGATGTCGTCATATCTTTACACTTAATTAATCTCATAATTTGTTCTTCTAAAGTCAACAGTGTTCCATTAATGAACTTCAACAAGTTTGTCCCTTCAATACTTTATTTTTGACGAACTATTATAAAGTTTCTTTCACTTTTTTTTTTCTCAATTTTCAATGATACTTTGCTAGTCAAAACGGTAGAATAGATTACTACGTATATATGTAGAACAATAAAATACTTTAAGATTATTGCCACTAGTTAACATATTCATTAAGATTATCAGTTCAAACAATCCATGCTCTGATACCACATGTAAGATTAAGTACTTTCAGGATCTTGAATACGATAATCTTACATAGAGATCGTTAGAGGTACATACCTGATGCGGAAGACATCATCACAGAGAAAAGCGGAAGCGTTAGTCGTAAATTGGTTTCTACCTCCTTGCCCTAACTTTATGTTACCACAACCGTCAACGATGGAATTATTGTAGAGAATATATGATAACCCTAATGGGTGGAGGGAGGACCAATTTATAGAGGTTATGACTTAATCTGGTATATCCATTAAGTAACCAATGTAAGGACGAGATCTATTCCTTATTAAACATTATTTATGGTATTACTTGCGTTACAAGTAAACTTGAGCCATAAGTAAGAAATAATTAATAATAATTCTTACACTTCCGGGTGCCTTCGCCATAGTTCAAGTCTGGAGTCGGCCATTTCAGTTCTTGAAAGCTTTTAATCTAGCTAGTGTTATTCATAGTACTTCTGTGTACTTATCGAACTTATGTGAGTCCAAACTCATTTGAGTTATACATTTACTTTCTAATTGTGCACGAGTATACATACTTTCTAGGCTTATAGAGGTCCAGTTAGGTTATAGATTATTGCTTTACTTTACTACTTCGTTCTTTTTAGACTCGTGAGCTATATAGTTAGACTTTCCGTTATTGCTTTGTTCATTTGACCTCTAATTACTGTTACTTTCATATTCTTCATATTGTTTTTACTTTCCAAGTTCAGTCGACCTATGATGCCTACTGGGCACCTGTTGTTCTGATATTCATGCTACACTTCACATCTGTTTTCTTGATGTGGATTTGAGCGCCAGCCGACAACGGTGATTGGAGCCTAAGTAATGCGGAGATCTTCTGAGATGAATGGTGAGCTAATGGCGTCCTTGTTCGACTTATCTCCATATGTATATAATTTTTTACATGTCTTTTGTATTCGAGACAAATTTATTAAGTTAGTCAATAGCATAGGCTCGAAACTATGACTAGAACATTGAGTGCATGACATGCACATCTTACTCCTTACTTTCCTTATTCGTGCCTGTTTTTTTTCATAATTTCTAACTTTCACTAGTACATTATCCCTTGTTAAGGAAAATTATGTAAACAGAATAGTAAATGGCCTGATCCACTTAAGAGCGAGGGCTAGTTGATTGATTGATACAGCTAAATCACATTAAATAATATATACGGAGAAGGGCCTAAAATACTCTTCAAGTACAGGTAATGGAACAAAAATACCCTTCTTCCACCTTTAGGCTCCAAAATACCCTTCCATCTATCTATATGGACCTATATTACCTTTTCACTTAATAGATTCTTTAAGACTAATAATTAATCCTTTCATTAATGATGTGGCAGTCTTTAATTGGTTGAAATTGGAATTAACCAAAATAAGAATTTCTCTTAATTAAACCCAGATCCAACTAAATTCCACCCGACTCACTTAAAATTCTATTGACCCATATCTTAAATAATCAAACTTCAATCAACAACTTGCTCCAGTTATTTTTAATCCCAGTCAAAAAAGAGGTACATTAGACCATAAACAACATGAAACTTCCGAAAATTCCCTGGAAACATTCCAAGAAGGAAGAAGTGAAATACAAGATCAAGTGCCACTATAATCATATACCAATATACACCATATTTTGAAACACTATGAAAAGTCCAGCAAATCTCCAATCTCTGGGAAACATAAACTCAAAGCGGTAAAATTTCTCAAAATCCAAAATCCTAGAGTTCAAAAATTATTTCACTTCTTTCTTTTTTGCGATTCATATAAAGCACCGCACGCAAAAAGTAAAACCAACATAATTTTATTTCTTAAATAGACATGATTTTGGGAAATTCTCAAAGCAGAATCATGGAATAGAATATAAAAAAAAATAATAAAAATTTAGCCATAGCAAGAGATTATATGCTTGATGAAGAAAAGCGATTGATATCGCTTTTCTTTATCTGCAAATTTTACGAGAAAATTATATGGAGAGAAATTCAGAGTACAGAGAAAAAAAAGGAAACTCACCGCTACACACTCGGTTCTTCTTGTTTTTTTTAAAGATATGGGTCAGTAAAATTTTACGTGGGTCGGGTAAAGTTTAGTTGGATCCGGGTTTGATTTGGAGAAATTATTGTTTTTGCTTAATCTAAATTCCAGCCAATTAAAGATTGCCACATCATTAATGAAAAGTTTAATTATTACTCATAAAAAATCTGTTAAGTGAAAGGGTAATATAGGTCCATATAGGTGGATGAAAGGGTATTTTTGAGCCCAAAGGTGGATGGAGGGTATTTTTGTTCCATTCCCTATACTTGAAGGGTTTTTTAGGCCCTTCTCCGTAATATATATTACATTTTTGAACTGTTAAACTAGAAACAAGATTTAGGATTTTTCAAGTGGACCAAAATACAGATATTGATGCAGAGCACTTAAAGTCTGTTGCTTGCCGATACTCTAAAAGTAGTAGTGTATTTTTGAAGAATCTAACATGAGTGGAGAGTACACGCGCAACTTAGCTTATATTGTGTTGGTCCAAAAGGAATGCCCCTTGATACCATAAACAAAAAATACCATGTCAGCTTTTTATTCAATAATAGTACAAAGATGACTGATCCAAACAATTTTAAGCTCAAACACAATGTTATAAGAAGGCAAGATACGAACTAATGTCACAATATTTACAGGTAAATCGTTTTTTTTTCTTCCTGAATTTCAATTATTATCATTAAAGTATTTTGTATTCCAAATCATATACTCATCCATTGGTATGGTATAGAAGAAGTGTTCAATTTGCTCGACCTCGCCCTGTGTCTCGTTTCCTCTCTTTATTGGAGCTAGGCTCTCCTTGTAATTGAAAACCCAACAGCCAGCAATGTTAAGGTCCAGGTGAAATCCAAGATCGGTAACTTGTCTTGTTTTAGGGTCATATCGCACCAGCTGTGAAGTATCTGTGATCTCGAAAACCATCTTATCATTATCCAAGATGTTGCGAGGCCAATGAGCATCTATATGAGGTTGTACAGTTAGAACTTTGGACCAATTTCCGTCTTGTTTCATTACCCACACATCGTATATGGACGTCATTGGTTTACCAGGGTCTCCGGTTAACATAGCAAGTGAGCCGCCATGCAATGTAAGTGTCCCCCAATGTTCACTTGGAATATCTGGGACTTGCATCTCCCCAAACTGTTCGCTGCCCATGTCAAAAGAGCGAATCGTGTAGATGTCAT